CCGTCCCCGCCACTGGGAAAACGGGGATGAATTCGGGGGTCACCTTCTGCAGGATCCCCCCTCCGGCCGTGGCACTGCCACCCCATGATGGTGGTGGTGACGGTCCCGTTCCCCGCCCCCCAGCCCTGCCGGCCCCCCAGGGGGGTTTGGAGGCAAGAAAAATTCTGGCTGCATTGGCCGGGAATCGAACCCGGGCCTCCCGCGTGGCAGGCGAGAATTCTACCACTGAACCACCAATGCCAGATGTGGAACATCCCCCGGCACCGCCCCACGGCTCCGCACCCCCGGTGCCAACCTCTGCCCCCCAGCATCCTGCCCATGCCAGCCCTCCCACAAGACCCACATGCAGGGGGGGGCTGTGCACGCCCGTGCCGCGCCCCCCTGGGTGTTCACGCCCGCGGGTGCGTGTCCTCAAGGCACGTCTGTGCGCCGTGTGGGTGCGGGTACCGCTTGTGCACCCCTACATCTGCACGCGTGCCACGTGAGCACGCAACACGCGTGTCTGCGTGTGCAGGCACCGGCTGCTTGCACGCTGCGTGTGCACGCAGCACCCCTGCAAGGGGTGTGCAAGGCTGCGTGGGAGCGTGCGGCCGGGCTGGGGTGCCGGGGGGACCCCAGGGTCTCCCCACCTGCCGGTACTTGCTGTACTCCTTGCCCAGGGCATCGAAGAGCTGGCACAGCTCCTGGGTGTACTTCCAGGACGGGTGCTTCTCCGGCAGCACCTCACGGATCCGCAGCACCGCCTGGGAGCTGACATGGAACCAGAGGTACCGCAGCGCCGCCTCCGACACCGTCCCGTTGCGCTGCGGGCGAGAGGGTGCCCTGGGTGAGACCCTCAGAGCCTCCGCGGGTCCCCGGAGTGTCCCTGTCAGGGGGCCATCCCCTGCCACCGTCTTACCAGGCGGGTGATGTTGGACGGCCTCAGCACCTCTTCGTACTGGACCTGGACCGTGTAGTCGATAGGGAAGTAGTGTTTCTGGAAAGGTGGAGAAGAGCACAGGGGCTGGCAGCAAAGTGACGGGGACATCCCTGCCGGCCTCGGCGTGACACCGGGGGACCGGTGGAGAAGCCCTTTGACGTGGTCAACCCCCAAAGATGCACCGGCAGAAGCAGCTCTGGGCACCGTTTGGCACAAGTTGCCCCCAGTAAAAAA